ATGGCAGACGTCTGTCTGGCAGGCCTGCTGGGGAATCTGCCCTCCCCACATCGGGCTTGGTGTGTGGTTCGTGTATTGCAGTCTCTGGAAGGAGCTGTGGTCAAGGACTCAGGCCCCCTGACCCCCTGCTCTTTGCGTATTTGCAGTCCTAGCCCAGCCTTCCTTCTTAGATCTTCTTTAGGCTCCTCTCCCTCACTGGAGACCAGAGAAGGAAACCCTGAGGACATCTTTCCCTGTTGCTACTCAGTTCTCAGTACTTTCCACTCTGAATACTACCCCTGACCACAGGTCCATAAAACCGATGGAGCTTTGTTTGAAGCTCCCTCAACAGACAGACACCTACTGTCTTCAGTGACTCACTTGGCCCTTGACTGGTGCACTACTCCATGGAGGAAGATGGCACAGGAGAATCAGTCCTGTCTCCAGTTTTATCTGAGTAGGAACCTGCGTATAATCTCATAAGACATCTGCCATTTATTGATTGTCAGCGTTTATCCAGCTATGAGTGCAGATGGGGTGAGAGCTCCTCTTCCCCTTGGCTCTTCTTGGCCATATCTCGAGAAGTTGTAGGTCTAAGGGGGCTGACTTCCCAGAGAAAGGTCTGCTCCCCATTCAGGGTTATATAGCTAGCCCTCTGTTCCTCATGTTAGAACATCTGAATATTTTCAATCTGCCGTTAAATAACTAATTAGGGTTTATTTTATTAACTCAGGGCTTTCACGTAGTAGTTTCTTACTAAAAATATATGTAAATGGTTATCAATTCAGTGAATTATAGATGTTAAAATTATGAAGGCACTATCTAGCTAATCAAAACAACCAAGACGTAGGAGGACTTTTTGAACACTGTTCTTTCTGCTTTTATTAACGTTTCTCTATGGATTGGCACCATAATCTTAAAAAATGATGAAACTACGTTATGAATATCCAACTCAAAAGAAGATGAGAGTTGTTTAATTTATTCAACATTTTCATCAGTTTAAACTTTTTCTGGCTTCTAAAATTCAGGAAATAGTATCAGCTCTCAGATGGAGGCAGAACCGTGGGCTCTGCAGAGGTTACCCCCTCCTCTTCTCTCTTTCCACTGGATTTCTAATAGGTATATCTCCAGGTTTTGAGGAGATAATTAGGTAATTACATGTTGTGGTTTGAAAGATCACTTGTTGGACTAAAGAATACATGAAGCAGAAAATGCAAACACAAGATCGTGGGTGGTCTCAACAAAGGTCTTTCTTTTCTATTTTGCTTAATTAGCTTCCTAAGAAGTTGAAAGCAAGATTTTCTGCAGATAAACTGCGTGGCAAATGAGTGCCTTAGGAAAATTGATAGTTGACTATGCTTGGTTGTGCTATTTCTGGGAACAAAGGAAATTTCATGCAGGGAATTTGTTACAAAGATGATGAAAAGCTAAGAAAGCTGGAGGAGCCATGGGTGGCCTGGAGATTAGCAACAATGGGAAGCCTGGACTAGAGGAGTGGGGTCAGGAGCTGCCAGTCCACAGCCTGGGGCCTGGGCTGGGGGCAGAAGCTGGAACTGGGGCAGGTCTGCCCTGTGGGGGTTGGGCTATGGCTTAGTTATGAAGATTAGTTCAGTTTTTACCTGCAGAGTTTTTCAAGTGCCACAGTCGAGAAACAGCTTTTGTTTCTTAAGCAATTTTCATTAACGTTTTGGTGCCACTAGGGTCTTAGCATTTGCATCAGGCATTTGTTCATTAATTAATTAATTAATTCATCCTACACATTCCTACTGAGTGCCTGTGAAATATTAGAACCTGCTTTGTGTTAGGAAAGCAGGATTCAGCTGTCGTCAAACTGTGTTAGGGTTCTCCAGAGAGACAGAGCCAGTGCGATGAACCGAACGAGAGGTATTAGGGGACCTGGCCGATTCAATCAGAGGGAAAGTCCCACAGTAGGCCATGTTCAAACTGCAGAATCAGAGAAGCCGATGGCCTGGCTGAGCTCAAGTCCAAAACCTGTGTACTAGGGAAGTCATGAGTGAAGCCCCCAGCCAGGCCCAAAAGCCCCTGGCTTGGCATCTGGTGCAAGTTCCAGAGTTCAAAAGCTGAAGAACCTTGAGTCTGATGTCCAAGGGTAGTAGAAAAAGCTTCTTGCTCTGGAAGAAGGAAAGCAGAGTGAATCCCCCCTTCTTCTGCCTGTCTGTTGCTCCAGTCGGGTCCCAAGTGATGGGCCGGTGACCACCCACACTGAGGGCAGGTCTTCCTCTAGGCCACTGACTCATACATCAATCTCCTCTGGAAATCACTGCATTGACTCCCAGAAACAGTGCTTCACCAGCTGTCAGGCAGCCCTCGATCCAGTCAAGTAGACACCAGATATTAACCACACACAAACCTAAGGGACATTTGGTTAGTGTGCTTCGATGGTCATTATTTTTCTTTTCAAGAATGAGTCTCTTGGTTAAACCAGCCAAGCATAAACATTAAGTAGCAGAGGAGACTGCCTTCAGTGCAAGGAAGGAAATCCTCACAGTGGTTCTGTTTGGAAACTTCATGACAGATGCCTCTCAATTTTCAGTTTCAATAAAGACCTAATTGTAAGGATGACTTTTTTTTTTTTTTTTTTTTGAGATAGAGTTTCGCTCTTGTCACCCAGGTTGGAGTGCAGTGGCGTGATCTCAGTTCACCATAACCTCCGCCTCCCAGGTTCAAGTGATTCTGCTGCCTCAGCCTCCTGAGTAGCTGGAATTACAGGCATGCGCCACCACACCCGACTAATTTTGTATTTTTAGCAGAGAAGGGGTTTCTCCATGTTGGTCAGGCTGGTCTCGAACTCCTGACTTCAGGTGATCTACTCGCCTTGGACTCTCAAAGTGCTGGGATTATAGGTGTGAGCCACTGTGACCGGCCGAGGATGACTTTTAACTTCACCTGTAATATAACTCAAAGTAAGGAAGTTTCCCTCAATAGTGGCTGGCTTCTCTGCTCCTTCTCATGAACAGCGGTCACAGGAATGGCTTTGGTTTGTTCATTCCAAGTTAAATCAGCTGAACAAGCCTGATGAGTACTTGGGTATTTCATTCTTGACAGCAGGTGAGGAAGTAGAAGAGCTCCACCCTGACACTTCCATCACATGTGGATTCTCCCCTCCTGGAGGGTGTCTTTGCACACTTAGGACATATCCTACACCTGATCGTATCTTCTTTTTGAGACCATTAAAAAACAAATGAATAAACACACTTAGATTTTGCTCCAAATCCTTGAACTTTTTTGTGTAATTCTTTGATTTTGCAATACTCCAAATGACTATTTCTAGCTTAGGCTCCCCTACCTTTCCTAGCCTACCTTTGCAGGTTCTCCAAATACTCTCCAAACAGGCCTACACATTGCGGATGCTACTTGATCTATTAGGGGGTGAGGTCGTGATAAACTCATCATACATTGGAAATATTTTAAGTCAAAATTACATATAGTACACTCAACCTACCAAACATCATAGCGTGGCTTCGCTTACCTTCAACATGCTCAGAACACTTACATTAGCCCACAGTTGGGCAAAATTATCTGACATGAAGTCAGTTTAATAATAAAATGTTGAATATCTCATGTAATTTATTGAAAACTATACTGAAAGTGAAAAACAGAGTGATTGTATGTAACTCAAAGTATAGTTTCTATTGAATACATGTTGATTTCCCACCATTATAAAGTTGAAAAATCAAAAGTGGCCGGGCGCGGTGGCTCAAGCCTGTAATCCCAGCACTTTGGGAGGCCGAGACGGGCGGATCACGAGGTCAGGAGATCGAGACCATCCTGGCTAACACGGTGAAACCCCGTCTCTACTAAAAAATACAAAAAACTAGCCGGGCGAGGTGGCGGGTGCCTGTAGTCCCAGCTACTTGGGAGGCTGAGGCAGGAGAATGGCGTGAACCCGGGAGGCGGAGCTTGCAGTGAGCCGAGATCCGGCCATTGCACTCCAGCCTGGGCGGCAGAGCGAGACTCCGTCTCAAAAAAAAAAAAAAAAAAAAAACGAAAAATCAAAAGTGGAACCATTGTACGTTGGGGACCATCTATATTATTACCCAGTTTTAGAACCCTCAATCAAGGAATTTAGTAAGATTAAAAAGAAGAAAGAAAATGTGGTACTTATATACAATGGAGTACTATTCAGTCATAAAAAAGAATGAGATCGTGTCATTTACAACAACATGGATGGAACTGGAGATCATTATATTAAGTGAAATAGGACTAGCACAAAAAGACAAACATTGTATGTTCTCACTTATTTGTGAAACATAAAAATCAAAGCAATTGAACACATGGAGACAGAGACAAGAAGGATGGGTACCAGAGGCTGGGAAGGGTAGTGGGAAGTAGGGGAGAGGCGGGAATGGTTAATGGGTACAAAAAAGTAGAAAGAATGAATAATACCTAGTATTTGATAGTATAAAAGGGTAACTGTAGTCAAAATAGCTTAATCGTATGTTTACAAATAACTAAAAAGAGTGTAATTGGACTGTTCATAACACAAATGATAAATGCTTAAAGGGAAGGATACCCCATTCTCCATGATTTGATGATTTCACATTTCATGACTGTATTAAAACATCTCATGTACCCCAAGAATGTGCACACCTAATATGGCTATATAAAATTTTTTTTAAAAAGAGAGAAGTAAAGTTGATTTTTCTTTTTCTTTCTTTCTTTTCTTTTCTTTTCTTTTTTTTTTTTTTTGAGATGGAGTCTCTCTCTGTAGCCCAGGCTGGAGTGCAGTGGGCATGATCTTGGCTCACTGCAACCTCCGCCTCCTGGGTTCAAGCAATTCTCCTGTCTCAGCCTCCCGAGTAGCTGGGATTACAGGTGCCCGCCACCACGCCCAGCTAATTTAGTAGAGATGGGGTTTCACCATGTTGACCAGGCTGGTCTCCAACTCCTGACCTTAGATGATCCACCCGCCTTGGCCTCCCAAAGTACTGGGATTACAGATGTGAACCCGGCCTACAAAGTTGATTTTTCACAGAGTTGTGTTTTTTTTTTTCTAACAGATGAAGCAGTGCATAAGCATTTATGATGGGTGAAGCTGATGTGTTGCAACGAATATCTCATGCAGGCACTTTGGATCCAACTCAACTCATCACACATTTATGGTGCCAGATGCCAATTTGGAGAAGAAAGGGTCTTGTTCTCATGAAGCTCACAGAGAAACAGGTAAACAAACATACACCGATGGAAAGCACTTGATCAAGGACCTCCTGGTAGGAGGTTTGATGGTAATTAACTGTGTCTAGGGGTAGATGAGGTTTTGGAGGACTGGATGTGTGAGTTGAGTTTTGGAAGATGGAGAAAACAAACTTTTGTTTTTTGTTTCCCGTGGGCTAGGAGCAAGTTGTGGCCAATACCCTCCCTCTTGACTTTTCCTCCTCCTGCCCTCTGCCTCCCTGTCTCTTTCTCACCCTTCAGGTCTCAGTAGGAATCTTCTCTGCAAGGTTCTAAGACAGTTTACCTTGAAGGAGCCCCTAGCCCCACTGTGACTGCCCACCATGACAAGTTGTGTTTCCTTCCTACTCCGTGGTGCAGTGCAGAGTACGTCATTAGCATTTAGGGGGTGGGTTTTGAGCCTCTCTCTCGCTGGACGGTAAGCTTCCTCAGGGTAGGAGTCACGTCTGTTTGGGCCATCTCCATAGAATCCACATGAGTTCTGGGCAAACAACAGGCATTCAGTAAATATTGGTTGAGTCTCGAATGGATGTGGCTTTCACTGTGGGAATAAAGACAAGTTTGAGCTTTGCTTCTACCCTGCTCTGTCGATGTAGGGATGATGACATCAGATGACTTATGAGTTTCACGTAACCACTGATGGATGTCGTTCCTCATAAGACGCACTAACATAGAGCCTTATGGATTTACACGTGCTGTTGGTGGGGGCCCATGCCAACAAGTTAAGGTTGTAAGAAGTTTTAATTTTTTTCTCAAATGGGAGAATCTTTACCAAGCTTTTCTTCATTTGACAGCCTGGTAAGCAGCCTTTAGTGGCTCTCCATTTTCCACCAGTCTGATGTAAATTTCCCCTGCCAATTTTCTGTCATTTTCTAAAATCCGACCTCCTCTAGTTGAACTTATTTTCCACTACTCCCTAATACACAGTTCACAGTTTAGACAGGTCCTACTGAGCCCTCACATGTCAAATTCACACCTGGCTGTCTTTCACAGAGGTCCCACCACCTTTTGTAGGGGACTTCCCTTATTCTTTGCCTTCAGTAACTTTTGCCAAATTCTTTCTCAGCTCAGCTTCCATCTTCCGCACTCCCTGGCTGCTGGAGTCTCGGTGATCTGTCTCTCCTCTGAATGCTTGGTGTGTCTCTTGACCCAACTTTCAATTCTGTTCTGTCCTTCGTGCCCAAGGTGAGATCTCATGTATGGGGCTTACCTGCCCACCTGATTAATCTTGATTTCCTTATCTGCAAAATACAGCTAATGCCTCTGTCACTGATGAAAGACAGATAAAATACTTCAAACACCTGGCTCGGCAGCAAGGCTTGTTCCCTCTTATTCTCTGTTTCTGCAGCCACAGTCCCCGGCTAAGCAGTGTGTTGCTTAAGAAATGGAGTCTGATGGGCTGATTCCTAGAGGTGGGACTAAGAGGCAGTTTGTGGAGGAATGGGGTAAAAACCAGAGAATGTGCCACCACTGAAATTAAGGGGGAAAGTTTTGTTTTCTCTCTTGTATATTGTAGACCAGGACACAGAGGGTTATTCTGTCATTTCGCTCATGGAGAAGAGAGTTTGGGGAAAAAGTAGAAGCTGCTAGTGGTACATTTGTATGGGAAATATTTTGACAAAACTTCATCCTAAGTACCTCACATAATTTCTTAGAAGTGAAGGGGAAACTAGCCAGTTAAGGAACTGTATTTACTCTACACAAAGCCAGGTCTCAGACTGGGGACTAGAGAAAATAAAAAGTATTGGACACGGAGAGCCAAGCAGGTTAAATGACTGGAGGGTGTCATCAGGATGTTTACCTGCTGAGCCTCCAGGCATCCCTGAGCTTCCTTCCATGCATGGATGTGCACACACATACTCCAAGATGCCACAGACATAGACATGTACACAGAGCCAGACACACATATGGGCACACAGGCACACAGAGATACATACTCACACAGAGATACATACACATGCAGTGTGCACACACAGCTACATACACTCATACAGATAAACACATGTGCACATAGATACAGATACATGAACACGCAAACATATATGTACAGACATAAACGCAGATACACATATATGCACACAGCGATACCCAGACACACACACATGTGCACACACACATATACACAGAGATGTATACATACACACAGAGAGATACACTCATACACACAGATACATACATCCACTCATACATGCACACAGGTACACAAAGATACATGAACACACTGATGTGTATGTACAGGCACACATATGCACACAAATACGTAGAACACACACATACGTATGTGCACACAGATACACACATGCACACATAGATATACACAGAGGCATACAGATACGCACATGTACATGGACACACAGATACACAGACGCACAGATACATGGACACACTTTCTTGCCTCTTCATTGCAAGGACACCTTCTGGCCACCAGATGTCACTGCGTGAACCATGCTGGAAGTCGCTGGGGGACCGGAGGGGCTGGCAGTAGCTGTCATGGAACCACTTTCTGGATGACCTTTAATGAAAACAGAGCTGCCAAAGTAGCTTGACAGCAAGTTTTATTCGTAACAGAAAATCCATCCGAAGACTCACTGTAGAATTGCTCCAATTCATTTCTCTCATCTGAGACGGTCACAGTAAAAGCAGCTAAAGAAAAGCATCAAAAATTGCCCACTTCGCTGGGCCCCTATGCATTCATGGGAAAGGTTAATTGGAAACGGCTTTGAGCCTCGCCATACAGAAGAGTCTTGGCAAGGGGAGGTTATTCAACTACAGGCAAATGACTTTCCTTTCAGAGGCAGGTGGGGGGGACCCTGAGTCCTCAGGTCGTGCGCTGTACGCAAGAAATGATACGGAAGCCCCGGGAGCTGATACTCACATTCTCCTCTGTGCTTCCCTGCACAGCTAGAAGAATTCCATCGCTCCCTCCTGTGTAACGAGCATCCTTAATAAGCCTCAAATGTGCATTCTCATGCCAACAGGTCTGGCAACAAAGGCAACCTGCACATTTCAAAAATCAAAAGCAATTTGGCTAAAGGACCTACAGTGTAACGTGGTACATGCCTGGGGGTGCCACCAGACCTGGGCTGCAGGCATTTGGTAAAGGCCGAGCCTCTCCAGGAGGCACACTTTTTGCGGAAGTGGCTTCACCGTTATTTAGTTTTTACGATCCGACTCATAGCAGGGTCTCCTGTGGTCAGAGGAAGGGTAGCGAAGTGTCCATTTGGTTTCTGGAATCATGTAGACTGTCAGATTTCTAGTTTAATGAAGGCTTGACAAGGACTTCATCATTGTCATCCACTGAAATGAGCTTTGGTGTATTTAAGCAGAAGACAGAATTATTGAGATGATATTGGGAAGGCTGGTTATCAAGGCTCTGAATATAGGCTGACATCGAAGAGCAGGCCCGGGGGTGCGGCTCCCCTTGCTCCTTGGGGACGTTCTTGAGAGAGCCGTGCCACTCCTGCTCGTGGGTGTCGGGCCTGTCTGCTGACTTGAAGCCCTTCTGACTGCTGCCTGGGCATCACCTTGGAGACTCTGCTGTCATCGCTGTCCTGTCCAGTCACCCAACCCAGAGCCAAAGCCCATGGGTGTCCTTTGCCCTCCAGCTGGGAGACCCAAATCTGGCTTCTTAGTTTCTGTGATAAGAGGCTGGCCAGGCCATGCAAGGAATGTTGCCCGGAGCTCAGGCAGGAGTTTGAACGATGGTCAGCTACAAAGCCACAGACATCCAAGTGGATTGCCGGGATTGGACTAGAAATTGAGAACAGTTCATGGGTGGACTTAGGTGCTGGGTGATTACTGGGTGTATACCCAAAGGATTACAAATCATTGTACTATCAAGACACATGTTTATTGCAGCACTATTTACAATAGCAAAGAGTTGGAACCAACCCAAATGCCCCCATCAATGATAGACTGGATAAAGAAAATGTGGCACATATACACCATGGAATACTATGCAGCCATAAAAAAGGATGAGTTTATGTCCTTTGCAGGGACGGGGATGAAGATGGAAACCATCATTCTCAGCAAACTAACACAGGAATAGAAAACCAAACACTGCATATTCTCACTCATAAGTAGGAGTTGAATAATGAGAATATATGGACACAGGGAGGGGAACATCACACACCAGGGCCTCTTGGAGGGTAAGACAAAGGGGGGAGAGAGCATTAGGACAAATATCTAATGCATGTGGGGCTTAGAACCTAGATGATGGGTTGATAGGTGCAGCAAACCACCATGGCACATATATACTGATGTAACAAACCTGCACGTTCAACACATGTCTCCCAGAACTTAAAATAATAGAAAAGTGCTGGGTGCATTTGAACTTGAGGCACATATAATGCACTAGTGGACTAGTAGTGAGATGTTTTATCACAGGCGTCCATATTTCGGGGCTTATTCCGTGCTGCAGCCAGGCACCCGGATGCAAACACCCCTGCCCCTGCTACTGTCAGCGTTCCTACTGCATTCTGGGATCTGGCCTGTCCAAAATGCTCTCTCTCCTGCATGGCCGTGTGCTCGAGCCATGTCTGGCCTCTGTCTGCCACTTCTCCTGGGCTTATATTCCTCAACACCACCTCACACGCAGCGTCCCTTGTAGGGTTCCCAGGACATCTGGTGCCCCAACCTCCACCATGGCCAATTCCAAGATGCAGTCTGCTAACATTAGAGTCACCTGGGATGCTCCTTAGTGCAATCCGATCAGAATCTCCGGGGATCAGCTTGGACCCCAGACTTTTTACAGCACTCCCCAGGTGAATCTGAGGAAGCCGACTTTATGGTTAAAAAATTCTATTCAGTGTTTAGTGAGCTGAGAACGATGGTGGCGGCACCTTGGTGGTTGCTCTGGTGACATAAAGTGGCCGGGGGCATCTGAGCGCCGCCTCTGCATTCAGAACAGGGCGCTCTCCTCCACCTGCGAGCCTGGGAATGCTGATTCCCTGTCCAGCGTGCCTGGCCTCCTCTCTCCCAGTCTGTGAGTCTTTCCCGTCCTTCAGTTCTCTACTTCAGCGCGGTTTCCATGATGAGTCCCTCCCCTGCTATTCCTGCCTGATCGGCCCCTTGGAACTGTTGTCAGACTTACCTTCATTTTACTGCTTAGCCTTGCCCCTTCACTTATATCCACGGGTTCACCCTCCACTCTGCTTGGGTTGGGCTTTGGTTAAATGTGTATGCCTGTGTCTCGAGATGCACAGCATAGCCCTGCCTTTCTGAAGTGTGTGTTAATATTATCTTCTGTATTAATCTCCTGGATTAATATTAATTCATGTCTTAGCCATTGGACTGTAGGAGTTTCGATGTCTGGGATTGTGGTGGATACCTTCATGTGAACTCCTCAGTGCCTAATATATAGTTACCCCTCTTGCTTACAGCAATGCACTGAGTGAATTTTTTAAACCATTTGTGGCTATGTTGTGCCTTACAATGGGAGACTTCTCCCTAATAGAATACTTTTCTTTCAGTGCTTACAGGAACATGACACTGTACACAAATTTTATGATTCTTAGTAATAGCACAGGTGTTAACAAATAGGTGATGATACAACCAAGTACAGGGAGGGAAGTTAGGAGTATTTCCTTGTTATCTATAAAAAATCTTAGCTACGGTTTTATGAGTCCTTTCATGTGCCTGCCATGGTGCTGAGTGTTTATGTGCATTATCCACGCAATCCTCACAGCAACCCCAGGAGCTTGGTGTCACCAGTCCCATGTTACAGATGAAGATAAAAGGCACAGCAGTGATGGGTACTCATGATTCACACTGAGTAGCAGAGCTGAGCTTCACTTCCAAGTCATACTGCTTTTTCATGTTGCCTGTGTGTGTGTGTGCATGTGTGTGCATGTTTGTGTTTGTGTATGTGTGTGTGCATGTGTTTGTGCGTGTGTGGGTTTGTATTTGTGTGTGTGCATCTGTGTGTGTGTGCGCGTGTGTGCATGTTTGTGTTTGTGTATGTTTGTGTGTGTGCATGTGTGGGTTTGTATTTGTGTGTGTGCATCTGTGTGTGTGTGCGCGTGTGTGCATGTTTGTGTTTGTGTATGTTTGTGTGTGTGTGTGCATGTGTATTTCTCTGTGTTTGTGTGTGTGCATGTGTTTGTGCGTGTGTGGGTTTGTATTTGTGTGTGTGCATCTGTGTGTGTGTATGTGTGTGCATGTGTTCATGTGTGTGGTTCTGTGTGTGTGTGCATGTGTTTATGCGTGTGTGGGTTTGTATTTGTGTGTGTGCATCTGTGTGTGTGTATGTGTGTGCATGTGTTCATGTGTGTGGTTCTGTGTGTGCATGTGTTTGTGTACGTGTAGGTTTGTGTGTGCATGTGTTTGTGTACGCGTGGGTTTGTGTGTGCATGTGTTTGTGTACGCGTGGGTTTGTGTGTGCATGTGTTTGTGTACGCGTGGGTTTGTGTGTGCATGTGTGTGTGTACGCGTGGGTTTGTGTGTGCATGTGTGTGTGTACGTGTGGGTTTGTGTGTGCATGTGTGTGTGTACGTGTGGGTTTGTGTGTGCATGTGTTTGTGTACGTGTGGGTTTGTGTGTGCATGTGTTTGTGTACGCGTGGGTTTGTGTGTGCATGTGTGTGTGTGATTTGAAATCAGTTACTCTGAGTGGAAATCAGAGGGGAAGGCTATTCTAACGCGGCATTGAAGGCATTACTGTGGCATCAAAACCAACAAGGAAAGGTCATGGGTGGACGGAGTGAGAATAAAGGGGTGGGCGGATGGGCAGGACTGGGGTGAATCCTAGCAGAACAACTTGCAAAAACCCAGCCCCTGCTTGGCAGAGAACGCCGTTTGGGTGCAGTGAGAGATCTTTAAGAAACCACCTGCTGTTTGTTGTTATCCCTTGTTCCCCTCCGTAGGAGGTTTGGACAGGCAATCTCTCACTGACGTGCTTGTAACTTTCATTGTCACCTTTATCAACAGACTCGCCCCATGGAGGGGACAAATTGGATTCATGACCAGACCTCTGAGGGGCTGCGTCTCCAGGCAGCTGGTGGGAAGCTGTCTGGAAACAAATACATTTTCCAGCTCGCTCGACCCTCACATTTCCACAGCAGAAGGTGTGTGATGTGGACTAACTGAAACTTGCCACCAGCTTGTCTCATCTCTCATGAAACTGCTGGAAGAAACACAGTGGATAATGACTCATTCCTGTGCTCTGTCCAGATAATAACTCTCACTTCTTAATAACTTCCCTCTGGCCATCGAGATCTCAAATGCAATAAAATGTTGTAAGCTGGCAGATGATATTTTCATTAGATGTGAAGCAATTTCACCACAGCAAGATATAGATGATACAGGGCAAAATGCTACCTCTGACCAAATGAAGAGGTGAGCTAGAAAGTACATGAAAATAGGACCTACGGTCAGAACAGGGAGGCCCGGAGTTCCCAGGAGAGTCAGAGAATGCCTCATCTTCCTGTCCTTGTTGCTGATTGACCTGTTTTGGTGTTTGGAAGGCAGGCATTCACCCGGACTGGCCACGTGCGGGTGCCGCGTGTTAGGTCATCCGGGATGTGGCAGGATGCAGGAGCCACTTGGCTTTCATAGGCTTATGGGAAGGGGAGAATTTTGGCCTTCCACTGAAGAGAACAGGATCCTTCACTGGGCTCTATTTCCACCTAGTAACCTGTCCTTAAGCAAGTCCTCTAGCTTCTCAGGATCTCAATGTTTTTGTTGTTGTTGTGTTTTTGAGACAGGGTCCCTCTCTGTTGCCCAGGCTGGAGTACAGCAGCATGACCTCTGTTTCCTGCAATCTCGGCCTCCCAGGCTCAAGCGATCCTCCTGCCTTGGCCTCCCAGGTAGATGGGACTATAGGTGCATGCCACCACATCTGGCTAATTTTTACATTTTTTTTTGTAGAGACAGATTCTCCCTATATTGCCCAGGCTGGTCTACAAACTCTTGGGCTCAAGCCTTCCTCCTGCCTCAGCCTTCCAAAGTGTTGGTATTACAGGTGTGAACCACCACGCCTGCCTTCTGTACCAGTGAAGCTGTCTGACCTACGTGTCCATAGGCTAGTCTTTGTTTGTTTGGCCTGCTGTAACAGAATATCTTCGACTGGCCATGGTCTCATTTTTCTCTCTGTAAAATCAGTTACAAAGTCTCCTTGTGCCCTTCCCACTCTGAAATCCTATGCTTTTGCCCCTTTCCAGTGACAAATCTAATAGTTAAACAGAAAGACACAGCAGTAAGCTTGAAAACCAAAATCGCAAGTCCAGATGACAGGTAGGAGTTCAGAGGACAAGGTGGTCATTGTGGACTAGATATTCCATGGAGGAGTTTTGGCCTCAGCTGGACTCTAAAGGAGCCCAGAACCGAATCCTTGGAGAGGAAGCTTCTAGAGTTTAGATGGAGAGGACAGCAGGAGCACCGGCCCCGTGTGAGCTGGTGGCCCTTCACTAAGACGGAGAAGATCTTTGTCCTTCTAATGGAGAGCTTGTCTCATTTTTCTCTCTCTGTTCTGCAGAATACCCTGAAAGTGTTTTTCACGTACGATTTCAGAATCCTCACGAAAAGTCTCAAGCGTTTCTCCAGTTATAGGGAGATTCTAAAAACGTGTGGATCAAGGGGTACCGCTTCTACTTATTAACTTACTTGTGGTAGGTGATATATTCATCACATTCGCTTGTATGTAGACATTACACTCTTCTAAAGGCATCCAGCCATTCATCCAAGTTCATAGAGTAATTATTCAAGGCTCTCTGCCTCTAGTTACAAGAAGTGAGTTAATATGCTCCTGAGTCTGTCTGTATTTTTAATGATCATTTCATTTCCCTCATTAAGCATTTAGGTTGCTCATTTGAAACGTCCAAATTGATAATGTTCTCATCTTTCTGTGGTTTTCATGGAAGCATGAGAACTCCTCAAAGTCAGAGCAATGGCTCTAAAATGGATCTGCTCCTGTCAACAGAGCTCCTGCACAGCCAGGACCAACGCCTGAGTATCCAGGACCATATCTCCTAGCCCAGAAACAATTCCTGCACACCTAAAGATACCCAGTCAGCCCTCACCTTGCCTGTAAGCCCCCTTCCCAGGAAATAAGAGCAGAAGAACAAAGAAGCCACAAAGTTTCATCTCGAGGATATGGAAATGAAATACACTGTGTAACTGTTAAGGACTGAATTATGTCCTCCTGAAATTCATATATGGAGCCCTCATGCCTAATGTGACTGTATTTGGAGACAGGGGCTTTAAATAAGTCATTAAGTGTATTAGTCCATTCTCACCCTGCTAATAAAGACATGCCTGAGACTAGGTAGTTTATAAAGGAAAGAGGTTTGATTGACTCACAGTTCCACGTGGCTGGGGAGGCCTCACTAACGTGGTGGAAGATGAAGGAAAAGCAAAAAATTGTCTTACATGGCAGCCAACAAAGAGAACTTGTGCAGGGGAGCTCCCATTTATAAAACCATCAGATCTCATGAGACTTATTCACTCAGGCAAGAACAGTATGGGGGCAACTGCCCCCAGGATTCAATGATCTCCCATTGGCTCCCTCCCATGACATGGGAATTATGAGAACTACAATTCAAGATGAGATTGGGGTGGGGACACAGCCAAGCCATATCATTAAGGTGAAATGAAGTCAAAAGCAAGGGGCCCTACCTCATATGACTGTGGCCTTATAAGAACTGGAAGAGACACTGGGGATGAAGGTACACAGAGAAAAGGCCGTATGAGAGCACAGCTGAGAGATGGCCATCTGCAACCCAAGGAGAAAGGCCTCAGGAGAAACCAAACCTGCCCATGCATTGTTCTTGGACTTCCAGCCTCCAGGACTGTAAGACAGTAAGTTCCTATTGTTTAAGCCACCCAGTCTCTGGTATTTTGTTTTATGGCAGCCCAAGTAAACAAATGCAATAACAGTAGAAGAAAGCTGATCAGTGGAAACAGAAAAACGACAGAATGAATGTCTTTCGCAATGACTATGAAAAGCTTGGAAAAGGATTCCACTAAAACTGACGATTCTTTCATAGCTGGATTACGGAACAGTTGGACATGAAACAAAATAAAAATGATCACAGCTCTCCCTCTGTGCCTGAAGCAGTTTCTAGGGGGAAATTCAAACGTGAAAAGCCAAGCAGATGATCTGAGATGTTAACTGAGATGAGTGAAGGCACCAAGCATCAGGCAATGTGGACTTTCTGACCAGCACTGTGTTCTTGCCTGCAAAACTGCCTATTAGTAGGGATTGGCACAACCCTGGAAATAAACTTTTCTAGGGTGACACATCTTCAATGAGAACATTGTTTGAGGCCTCTGTGCTCAAGAGACCGTGTTTGGTTTTTGAAATGTTTGGTTTTCTCCTTTGGAATGAAATAGCCTGGGGAGGAATAAGGAGTGTGTGTGGCAGCAGCCCAGGAGACGCTTTCTTTTTCCCTGAAATCCAGATACAATGCTAGTTTTACCTATTAGGTGGCAAAGGCAGCACGGATTGTGCCTTTCATCTTTTTTGATGAGGTAAAGCTGCAAGCCAGGGAATGTATTTAGCTTTTCTGTTCTGCACAGAGCATTCTGGTCAGCTGATGGTGAATGATGTGCAGTTGTTGAGGTTCCTAGCTTCTCCAGAGCAATTCCTGCTGAAGGCTTTCCTGCCATCTTGCAGAGTTGGAGTCTGGGGCTGTTAAGAAGTTTAAGAAGAAAAACGAAACAAAACAAAGATAAAAAACAGAAGCTCACCACCTTCATCATGTAAGCAAAGATATCTTATGAAGGAATTCGTTCAATTCACATAAAAACCTTAGTATACAGAGGCAGGAAAATGTCATTATACCCATTTCACAGAAGGAGAAACAAGGAGTGATTAAAAAGAAGGAATGAAGAGGAGAAGGAAGGAAGGAAAGAAGAAAGGAGAAGGATGGGAAAGAAGGGAGGAAGAGAGAAGGATGGGAGGGAGGAAAAGAAAGAAGAAAGGAAGGAGGATGGGAGGGAGAGAAGGAAAGAAGGAAGAAAGGGAAGGATAAACGACAGAGGGAATGAAGGAGGGAAGGAAGGAAAGGATAGAGGAAGGCAAGGAGTAAGGCACAAAGGCAGGTGCTGGGGTCTAGGCATGAAGGGAATGTGCCTTTCACATGATTGTGGTTACATTGAACTGCATGTGCTTTGTGTGGGAAATCGTAAAGTCATAATGGACTCTTCTGAAATGGAGCCACCTGGTCTACCACAGTCTCTTCTGAAGAGGCTCAGACAAGATGTAGGGTGGGTAAGAGGCAAGGGTCTAAGCTCCCTTGAGCTCTTCACCATGGTTTAGTCATTAAACCTTCTCATTAAGCTCTAGTAAAAGGCTTGGGCTTGAATCCCTGCATCATCATCTACTAGCTTTGTGGCCTTAGGCTAATAACTCATTTGATGAGCAAAAATGGGATGAAACTGTCTGCCTTTTAGGATGGCTATGATGTGAGCTCAGATTATGTGCAGTGGTTGCCTAAAACTTGGTGGGTCCAATGGAGATGGAGCCATGTCATCCTGTTCGTTACCTTCAGGGTGTCCCGCAGCACAGTGTGGTGCTCGCACCTGTCTGCGTTCACCGTGAGTCATCGCTGCACCTGCATCTTGTGGCCTTTATGCAATAGTGATCATAATGGTAAGTGCAGCAGCTAATGTTCATTGAGTGTTTGCCACTCACCAGGTGATGTTCTAAGTGCATTGTATATATTATTTTATTTCCACTGCATTTGGAGGAAACTGGGGATGAGGGGTTAAGCAACTGGACCCATGCCTTGCCGCTGGTAAATGGCGGGCCTGGAATTTGAGACCAGGGACCTTGACTTCAGAGCTTGTGATCCCAACAGCTCTGCCGTAGTTCACTCTCTCTCCAACTTGAACTGGAGCTGCTAATTAATTCTTTATGCCTTTTTCCATAGCCGCTGATTTGAATAATTGCTTTTCAGTTAATGTTCTCATGATATCAAACCTTTTGTCCCTGATTATCTTGTTTTTAGTAAAAGTAAGCAAGAGGGTTTTCATACCCACAGATTTGAGTTTGAAAGCTCTGGTGTAGCATTGGGTGGGGTGTGAGAAAGAGAGGCGAGGGAATTGTCATTTTCTTTTCCTGTAGAGATCTTTAAATTGATATGGTTTATCTGACTGAAAGAGTAAGATGGGTGCTAAGATTAAGATTCTAGGATGGTCTCTGAGACCCAGGCTGGAAAGCATATATTCGCTCCTCCCTATTGTGGGTCACTGACTCTCGGGGGGACGCCGCAAATCCTAGGCTCTGAGTCCCAGGTTCTGTTTTTCTCTGAGGACTATGTAGGGAATGGGCCTGT